GAACACATTCCCATCCTGTATTCCTTCCTTCGACCTCAAACAACTCGAAGTTGGAGGAATTAAATGCAAATGCATGCAGTTGGAGTAAAAGACACTGCCTGGGAATTCAGGCAGCATAGGTGTGGGGGGTGAGGGGGGAGGTCCGTCCATCCGTCTGTCCACCCTCCCTCCTTCCCTCCCTCCCTCCCTCCCTCCCTCCCTTCCTTCCTTCTTTCCTTCCTTCCTTTCTCTTTCCTTTCGAGACGAAGTTTTGCTCTGTTGCCCAGGCTGGAGTACAGTGGTGCAATCATGGCTCACTGCACCCTGGAACTCCTGGGTTCAAGCGATCCTCCTACCTCAGCCTCCTGAGTAGCTGGGACTACAGGCACATGCGAACATGCCTGACTAGAATGGCAGTGTTTCTGAGGGCAGGAGGAGGGCATAAAGGTCAGACGAGGCTGAACCTTACTTACTCTTCACTTTCCACCTCTTCCCATCTTCCTTCCTCAGAGTCTTGGGGAACACCTTTCTCTCACCTTTAAAAATAAATTTTTTTAAAGAGACAAAGTCTTGCTCTGTCACCCAGGCTGGAGTGTAGCCGCATGATCACAGCTCACTACTGTCCTGTCTTCTGGGCTCAAGCAATCCTCCTGCCTCAGCCTCCTGGCTAGCTAGGACCACAGGCCTGTGCCACCGTGCCTAATTTTAAAAAATTTTTCCTTTTGTAGAGATGAAGTCTTGCTATGTTGCCCAGGCTGGTCTCAAACTCTTGGCCTCAAGCAATCCTTCCACCTTAGCCTCTCAAAGTGCTGGTATTACAGGTGTAAACCACCTCACCCGGCCCTTTCTCGCCTCTAAGATCTGAAGTTCTGTTTGAATGTGTACATGTGGGGTATGTGGGTGTTGGGAGTGTGTGTATGAGACAGCTTTATTGAGGCATAATTCAAATATAAACAAGGCCAGGCACAGAGGTTCACACCTGTAATCCCAGCACTTTGGGCAGCCAAGGTGGGAGGATTGCTTGAGACCAGGAGTTCAAGACCAGCCTGGGAAACATAAGAAGACCTCATCTCCACAAAAAAATTTTAAAAATTAAAAATTAGCCAGGCATGATGGTGAGTGCCTGTAGTCCCAGCTATTTGGGGGGCTGGCATGAGAGGTCAGCTTGAGCCCAGGAGGTTGAGGCTGCAGTGAGCTATGATTGTGCCACTGCACTCCAGCCTGGGTAACAGAGCAAGACCCTGTCCCAAAAAACAACAAACAAACCGTAAAATTCACTCCTTTAAAGCGTACAACCCAACGGTGTTTAGTATATAAGTGAGTTGTACAGTCATGACCACAACCAGCCTTAGAACACTTTCATCACTCCAAAAAGAAACCCTATACCCAGCTGGACATGGTGGCTCATGCCTGTAATCCCAGCACTTTGGGAGGCCAAGACAGGTGGATCACCTGAGGTCAGAAGTTTGAGACCAGTCTGGCCAACATGGTGAAACGCTGTCTTACTCAAAACATAAACGCACAAAAATTTGGCCTACCATGGTGGCTCACTCTTGTAATCCCAGCACTTTGGGAGGCTGAGGTGGGCAGATTACCTGAGGTCAGGGATTCAAGACCAGCCTGGCCAATATGGTGAAACCCCATCTCTACAAAAATACAAAAAGTAGCCAGGCATGATGGCGGGTGCCTGTAATCCTAGCTACTCGGAAGGCTGAGGCAGGAGAAGCGCTTGAACCCGGGAGGCAGAGGTTGCAGTGAGCTGAGATTGCACTACTGCACTACAGCCTTGACAACAGAGCAAGACTCCATTTCAAACAAAAATTAGCTGGGCATGGTGGTGGGCTCCTGTAATCCCAGCTACTTGGGAGGCTAAAGCAAGGGAATCACTAGAACCCAGAAGGTGGAGGTTACAGTGAGCCAAGATCATGACATTGCACTCCAGCCTGGACGAGAGTGAAATGCCATCTCAAAAAAAAAAAAGGAAAAGAAACCTTACACCCGCTGGGCGTGGCGGCTCACACCTGTAATCCTAGTACTTTGGGAGGCTGAGGTGGGCAGATCAAGAGGTCAGGAGTTCAAGACCAGACTGGCCAACACAGTGTAACCCCATCTCTACTAAAAAATACAAAAATTAGCTGGGCACAGTGGTTCGTGCCTGTAATCCCAGGGACTTGGGAGGCTGAGGGACTTGGGAAGCTGAGGCCCTGGAAGCAGAGGTTGCTGTGAGCCGAGATCGCACCACTGTACTCCAGTCTCCCTCCTTGGGCTACAGAGCAAGACTCCATCTCAAAAAAAAGAAACCCTACATCCACTTGCAGTGATTCCCCATTCTCCTGAAGCCCCCACCACCCCACCACCAGCTCCTGGCAACCACTTTCTGGCTCTGTAGATTTCCCTATTCTGGGTATTTCATGTAAGTAGAATCATATACCACGTGGCCTTTTGCGACTGGTTTCTTCCACTGAGCATAATGTTGTTAAGGCTCACCCATGTTGCAGCAGGTGTCAGTGATTCATTCCTTCTGAATGATATTTTGTTGTGTGGATGGACCTCATGTCTGTCCAATCATCTGTCGATGCACATTTGGGCTATTGCCATTTTTGGTTCTTACAGATAATGCTGCTTTGAACACTCAGGTGCAAGTTTTTGTATGACCCTATTTCCATTTCTCTTGGGTAGATACCTAGGAGTGGTGAATGTGTTTTTATTTTTTTATTAAAAAAATTTTTTTGAGGCAGGGCCTCACTCTGTCACCCAGGCTGGAGTGCAGTGGTGTGATCTCGGCTCACTACAACCTCTGCCTCCTGGGTTCAAGTGATTCTTCTGCCTCAGCCTCCCAAGTAGCTGGTATTACAGGCACACACCACCACACCTGGCTAATTTTTGCATTTTTAGTAGAGACAGGGTTTCACCATGTTGGCTAGGGTGGTCTCAAACTCCTGACCTCAGGTGATCCACCCACCTCAGCCTCACAAAGTGCTGGGATTACAGGTCTGAGCCACTGGGCCCAGCCAGTGAATGTGTTTTTTAAATGAAAAATAAGGTATGTTCTTTTTCATGTATAATTTCTTTCTTTTAATGTTTAAATATTTTTCAATTTGTTAAAGGGCCATGCTAATCTTCTTTGCGTTGTTCCAATTTCTAGTATATGTGCTGCCAAAGCCAGCACATGTGTTCTTAATTACAAAAGTAATTCCTTAGAGATTACCAAAGTAACAAATTGGAAACAAGAAAACATTTCTCACCTTTAAAGTTTGTTCTGTTTGAATGTGTGTGTGCAACTTTATTGAGACACAATTCAAATACCATACAAGGCCAGGCATGGTGCCTCATGCTTGTAATCCCAGCACTTTAGGTGGCTAAGGTGGGAGGATCACTTGAGCCCAGGAGTTCAAGACCAGTCTGGGCAGCATAGGCAGACCCCATCTATACACAAAAAATGTTTTTGGCCGGGCGCGGTGGCTCACGCCTGTAATCCCAGCACTTTGGGAAGTCGAAGCAGGCAGATCATGAGGTCAAGAGATCGAGACCATCCTGGCCAACACAGTGAAACCCTGTCTCTACTAAAAATACAAAAAAATTAGCCAGGCATGGTGGCACATGCCTGTGGTCCTAGCTACTTGGGAGGCTGAGGCGGAAGAATCGCTTGAACCCAGGAGGTGGAGGTTGCAGTGAGCTGAGATTGTGCCACTGCACTCTAGCCTGGTGACAGAGCAAGACTCCGTCTCAAAAAAAAAAAATTTTTTTTTTTAGTTAGCCAGGCGTGGTGAACCACAAGTGTTGTCCTAGCTACTTGGGAGGCTGAGGCAGCAGGATCACTTGAGCTTTCGAGATTGAGGCTGCAGTGAGCCAAGATTATGCCACTGTACTCCAGCCTGGGTAACAGAGCAAGACCCTGTCTCAAAAAATAAGAACTTTTTAAATGTTTAAAAAGAAGCTATTGGCCAGGTGTGGTGGCTCATGCCTGTCATCCCAGCACTTTGGAAGGCCAAGGTGGGTGTATCACCTGAGATCAGGAGTTCAAGACCAGCCTCACATGATGAAACCCTGTCTCTACTAAAAATAAAAAAGATTAGCCGGGCTTGGTGATACTCGCCCCTATAATCCCAACTACTCAGAAGGCTGGGAGGCTGAGGCAGAGAATTGTTTGAACCCAGGAGGCAGAGGTTGCAGTGAACTGAAATCATGGCATTGATTGCACTTCAGCCTAGGCAACAAGAGCAAAACTCTGTCTAAAAAAAGAAAAAGAAGATATTGAGGCCGGTAATGGTGACTCAAGCCTGTAATCCCACACTTTGGGAGGCTGAGACAGGCAGATCATCTGAGGTCAGAAGTTCGAGACCAGCCTGGCCAACATGGTGAAACCTCATCTCCATTAAAAAATACAAAAAAAATATATATATATATGTATATGTATATATAGACACACCCTTAATGTCCCCAAAGAGATCTGGTGTGTCCCACCCTGCAGATGTGCGTTTGCTAACGTTTACTTTCATGGCATGTGACACAGCAATCGTGTGAACGGAAACTGACAGCTCCTGCCCTGTGCGGATGGTAACCTGTATCAGGCCCCTCTGATCCCACATGTGCCTATTAGTAATGACCCGTTCAGTGCAGATTAGACATAAAACCAGCTTTGACTTCAAAGGACCAAGCATCTAAGAGTAAGAGAAAGAAGGAGGATTTTCAGCGACCAGGGGGTACGGGGAGCGGTGGGGAAAGACATTCAAAGGGCTGGAAACTTTCTTTCTTTGGCAAAAAAGAAGGCCAAAAAAAATCTTCCAAAAAAGCAAAACGAAACAAAACTCTGGGGAATCATTATATTAAGATGGATGGATTATGGGTGATCTGTTTTAAAAAAAACTGTTTTAATGACATTATATTGCTATTATAATGTTTTACTACTAAAAAAGATTCTAAGAAGCCACTGAGGATTATTGATGGAAAAGAATGATTTTATAAAACTCAGCCATTCTTAAGAAGAGTGCAGCCAAAAAGGCTTTCTTACTCCTTTATAGTTTCTTTCAATAACTGGCTCACCAAGACAGAGGCTGCTGAGCAGGCAGACAGCTGCAGACCTAAGGAAAGCTATGACCGTCTCAGCTGCAAGAATCAGAGTGGCTTGGAGCACAGAGGAAGAATCAGGTAAGAAAAGACGTAAAAGGCTACTCTCTTCAAAATCATTGTTTAAAAAATTAGAAATTGTTGACTATTCATGACTTGTAAGAAAGGCTGCACCGAAATGTTTTTGTTTCTTTTGTTTAGTTTAATTTTTATATTATGAAGACAAGGTCTTGCTCCGTCACCCAGGCTGGAATGCGTGGTGCGATCATGGCTCACTGCAACCTCGAACTCCTGGCCTCAAGTGATCCTCCTGCCTCAGTAGCTAGGACTACAGGCCACCATGCCTGGCTCATTTTAAAATAATTTTTAGGGCCGGGGTCTTACTACATTGCCCAGACTGGTCTCGAACTCCTGAGCTCAAGTGATCTTTCCTGTCTCAGCCTTCCAAAGTGCTGGAATTACAGGTGTGAGCCACCAGCCCCTGGCCAGTGTTTGCCTTTTTGCATATCTCTCTATGTAAGTATTCAATCTCAAATTATGTTTTCTCTATTGCAAAAATAACCCATACAAGCATCCCTTCTTACATAGTGATTGATCAAGTGTTTTCAAAAGAGTTCCACTTATTCTAAAAAGTACTATGAAACAGAAAAACATACTTGTGTACTCAGAAGCACAGTCCGAGGCGGCAGAATGACTGGCACAGAACCTACTTTCCACTCCTTCACCCAGTGCAGACATTGTGAACTGATCATAGCACTCTTCTCTGCCAATCTAAAGACTGTCTCTCTGGTCTCTCTATCCCTTCTTATTCTTCTAAAAGGCATCAGAGCTGGCATCCAGGAGGGCGTGTGTTGGGTGAGGGGAAAAAAAAAAAAAAAACCTCTGTGCAGGCGCAAAACTAAGACGCCATCAAGTGGCGGAGCTTTCTAATTAGAAAAGGCACAGTACTTAGAACCAAAGCAAGACAACAGGGCAGTAAATGAATGAATGAATGAGTCTAGTCTTCTGTAAATACTTCCCTCCTAGAGAAGAGTTTTGAATTTTAACATGAGTTTTCTTTGCTTAAGCTCACGAGACCAGCTAATGGAAGCATTCAGGTGACAGTTGGTAGCAAAGGGCCTTTAGAAATCCTCAGACTCTGCTGGGCGCAGTGGCTCACACCTGTCATCCCAGCACTTTGGGAGGCCAAGGTGGGCAGATCACTTGAGGTCAGGAGTTCATGACCAGCCTGGCCAACCTGGTCTCTACAAAAATACAATAATTAGCCAGGCATGATGGTAGGCGCCTAACATCCATCCCAGCTACTCAGGAGGCTGAGGGAGGACAATCACTTGAACCGGGAGGCGGAGGTTGCAGTGAGCTGAGATCGTGCCATTGCACTCCAGCCTGGGCGACAGAGTGAGACTGTGTGTAAAAACAAAACAAAACAAAACAAAACAACAGAAACCTAGATTCTTTTCCCAATATCACCTTTGCCAAAGGCCAACCCTTCTTGCTGTCCCAGGCCTCCCACCCACAGCCTGCCCAGGTTCCTCACTCTGCAGACTACATGCAACATGTTTTGGATGCAATCTAGATACTATTTCCTGATCAGTCCGTGCCAGGCACTGGACAAAGAAATCCATGGACCTCATTTAGATACTCCTCATAGCAACTTGCCCTGAGACAAGTGCCCTATCCCCATTTTCCAGGTGAACACACTGAGGCTCAGAAAGGGGAAGCAATTTGGCCAAGGTCACTCAGTGTCTCACTCAGGAACAGGTAGGACTGAAACCTTCTCCTGGCCATGCTCAGCCTACAGGCCCCACATCGTTAGCCCCGTGCTGGGCTCCTCTTCGACACTAGGCCACCCTTCTCTTGCCAGAGGTGTCCAAGACAGGTCAGCTGTGCCCCAGGAATGTCCCACCAAGGCTGGGCATAAGCAGCCCAAATGGACCAAGGGGCACCTGTCGGGAGGGAAAGGGGACAGTGCAGGGCCCCAGGGCTGATCCTGGACCTGCACTATCCTGGTGACTGTCCCAGGGTTCCACAGCCAGAGTTTGAATCTGGGTGCTGCTAGCTGTGCAACAGTTTGCCACCCTCCCTGGCCTCCCTTTCCTGTGCCAGCTCCCTCCTCCAGGGGCAGCTGTGATGATGCGTTCAGTCACTCAGATAAAGGCTCAGGGATGGCACAGTGGGGAGCAGGGCAGTGGTCACCCTTGATCTCTGTCTCTAACATTGTCTCCCTGTGTGTGTGTGTGTGTGTTCCTGTACTACTATCTCTCTGTCTGTCTTTCCCTCCCCCTCTCTTCCTTTTCCTTTCCCCCAGGAGTAAAGGGAGGACACAGGACACAGCCAATGTCAGCTCTGTGAGGCCCCAGCTTGCAGATGTAGGGCAGACCCTGGCCTGGCTGCCTGCCAGCCCACCTCCTGGCCAGGCTCCTATCTCCCCTACTCACTGCCCTGAATAGCCTCCACTCAGGTGTGTCCCAAGCAACTGGGAGCCCTGGACCATGCCTGCTGAGGACAAGGACACTGGGTCCTCAGCAGTGGGATCCTGAGAGAGCATGGAGGGGGGTCATCTACCTTAGGAGCCACCCCTAAAGCCTCCTAGGGGCTGGGGCCCCAGTGAGAGGAGCTCCTGAATCAGGCCCAACATTTGTGGTTCCTCTGCCCCACCTTTCTCCCTGGAGGTGGAAACCTACATGGAAACCTCCACCAGCACCCAGGAGCACTCCCCAGCTGCAGACAACAGCTCCTGAAACATCAGGCAATGTGTTTTGGATGCAGTCTAGGTACTACTTCCTGATCAGGCTGTGCCAGGCACAGTCTGAGCATAGACAGCCCAAATGGGCCAAGGGGTGCCTTTATGTCAAGGGCTGCTGTTTTACACACCCCCCACATACATACCACACAAACACACAGACATACAGACACATATACACAGACATACAGATACACACAGACACAGACTTCATTTTTAGGGCAAAGGGTGACACTGCCATGCATACTTTTTGACACTAATTTTTTTTTTTCAAACAGTGTAAAGGGATTCACAATGAAAACTAACACCCGAGGCCAAGGTGAGGGGATCACTTGAGGTCAGGAGTTAGAGATCAGACTGGCCAACATGGTGAAACCCTCTTTCTACTGAAAACACAAAAATTAGCCTGGTGCAGTAGCATGCGCCTCTAGTCCCAGCTACTTGGAAGGCTGAAGCAGGAGAATCTCTTGAACTCAGGAGACAGAGGTTGCTGTGAGCCAAGATTGCACAACTGTATTCCAGCCTGGGCAACAGGGCAAGACTTCATCTCAAGAAGAACAAAAAAAACCCTAAAACCCTCAGTCCCTCAGTTAACCTTCCTGAAGGTAGTCAGTTTCTTGTGAATCCTTCTAAAGAGTGAATGCATAATTCAGATATTAATATTTATGGATATATATTTCTGGAATTCCCCCTAAATGGCAGCATCCTTTACTTACAGCTGTACTAACCTTCTTCACTTAACAGGTGATCTTGGAAGCTAGTTCCATATCAAAACACTTAGATCTCCCTCATCTTTATCTACATACGATTCATACATCATAAAACTGACACTTTAATGTGTACAATTCAGTGGTTTTTAGTATATTCAGAGCTGTGCAACCATCACCACTGCCTGATTGCAGGACACTTTCATCATCCTAAAAAGAAATCCCACACCCATGAGCAGACACCCCCGCATCCCTTGCCCTAGTCCCTGGCAACTGCTAATCTGTCTTCTGTGTGTATGGATTTGCGCGGTGTGGGTGTCTCTTATGAATACAGTATATAGCCTTTTGTGTCTGGCTTCTTTCTCTTCACATAACGTTTGCAAGCTCCTTCCATGTTGCAGGTTTGTATCAGTGCTTTGTTCCTTTATTTATGGCTAATATCTGTTGTATACATATACCACATTTGGTTTAGCCCCTCTTTCTTTTTAACAGCAATGTAGTATTCCACTGACAGGTGTATTTAAATTTTTTTTTTTCCGAGACAGAGTCTTACCCCATCACCCAGGCTGGAGTGCAATGGCACAACCTCAGCTCACTGCAACCTCCACCTCCAGGGTTCAAGGAGTTCTTCTGCTTCAGCCTCCCAAGTAGCTGGGATTACAGGCACATGCCACCACTCCTGGCTAATTTTTTGTATCTTTAGTAGAGACGGGATTTCACCATGCTGGCCAGGCTGGTCTCAAAATCCTGACCTCATGATCCACTTGGACTCAAGCAATCCTCCTGCCTCAGCCTCCCAAGGAGCTAGGACTATATAGGCACATGCCGCCACGCCCAGCTAATTTTTGTATTTTTTTGTAGAGATGAGGTCTGGCTATGTTCCCCAGCCTGATGTACCTTAATTCACCAATCTCCTGCAATGGGCATTTAGGTTGCTCCCAGTCTTTTGCTACTGCAGATAGTGCTACCATTGATTTCCTTGTTTTCTTTGCAAATATACCAGTTAAGAAACTTCCTTGATGTGGAATTGCTGGGTCAAAAGGGTATATACTTTTTGGTTTTATATATTTACCAACTGTGTTCCAAAGAGGGCACACAAGAAGGTGACACTTGCCCCATGCCCTTGCCAACCCATATTATCAAAATTGTTAAGTCCTTACCATCAGCTTTGCATTGTGATTTTCATTTGAATCTTTTTCTCTCTCTCTCTCTCTCTCTTTTTTAAGACATGATCTTGCTCAGGTGTGCACCATGCCCAGTGAATTTTTTAATTTTTTTGTAGAGATGGGGTCTTGCTATGTTGTCCAGGCTGGTCTTGAACTCCTGATCTTGAGTAATCATTCTGCCACAGCCTGCCAAAGTGCTAGGATCATAGGTGTGAGCCACCACACACGAGCACATTGCTTTTCTCTTGAGTGAAGCCTTTTCATTCTGAGTTAGACGTCTGTTCACAACTTTTTTTCGTTTATCTATTGAGTCATTCATCAAATGTTATTGATTTGTAAGAGCTCTTTATATATGGAGAAAATTAGCCTTTTTATCTGATTTAGATGTTGCAAAATTTTCCACAATCATATTACAGCAGACATTTAAACAAAATGGGGATTAAGGCATGATCCCCCTCTTCCACAGTCAAAAATGTGCACATAACTTTTGATTCCCCAAAAACCTTACCACTAATAGCCTACTGCTGACCAGGGGCTTGGTCACAAAAACAGTCAAGTAACACCTATTTTGCATGTTATATGTATTATATACTGTATTCTCACAATAAAGTAGGCTAGAGAAAAGAAAATGTGGCTAGGTGTGGTGGCTCCTGCCTGTAATCTTAGCATTTTGGGGGGTTGAGGTGGGAGGATCATTTGAGTCCAGGAGTTCAAGACCAGCCTGGGCAACATAGCAAGACCCCATCTGTTAAAAATGTGAAAAAAATTTTTAACAAAAACATTATTAAGAAAATCATAAAGAAGACAAAATATATTTGCTATTTATTAAGTGGAAGTGGATCATCATAAAGGTCTTCATCCTTGTCTTCATGTTGAGCAGGCTGAGGAGGAGGAGGAGGAGGAAGAAGAAGAATAGCTGGTCTTGCTGTCTCAGGGGTGACAGAGGTGGAAGAAAATCCACATATAAATGGACCCAGCAGTTTAAATTCATGTTGTTCAAGAGTCAGCTGTGCTTTTGTTCTATGCAGAAATTGTGGCCTGGTGCAGTGGCTCATGACATAATCCCAGCATTTTGGGTGGCCAAGGTGGGAGGATCATCTGAGGTCAGGAGTTCAAGACCAGCCTGGCCAGCATGGTTGAAACCCTGTCTCTACTAAAAATACAAAAATTAGCCAAGCATGGTGGTGCATGTCTATAATCCCAGCTACTCAGGAGGCTGAGGCAGGAGAATGGCTTGAACGTGGGAGGCGGAGGTTGCAGTAAGCCGAGATTGCACCACTGCACTCCAGTCTGGATGAAAAAGCAAGACTTTGTCTTGAAAAAAAAAAGAAAAAGAAAAGACATTGTTATGCACAAGATACGAGATGTATCCTGTAAGCCTTCTGGAGTTGTATGTGCCCTAGAACTCTTAGAAAAGTTATAAAAAGGTCTCAGCATCTATGCCTATTTATGATCCATCAGGGGAACCAGACAAATCAACAGATGTCCCCAGCCCAGAATGCTGTGAGTGGTGAAGCCCAGTGGACATGTGACCCAGTGCTGGGCGTGTGAGACATCTTTCTGGAGGTGGAGTGGGGATGATGTCTGAGCTGAGACTGAAGGGTGGGCTCAGGCAGGGTGAGCAGGCAGGCACTGGAAGGCAGAGGGGACAGGGTGGGAAAGCCCTGCAGATAGACGGAGAGCACAAGGTGGGCTAGGGAACTGAGACGTGTGGTGTCCCAGTGCCTGGGGACGGTGGGAGGACAAGAAGCTGAGCCACCCTCAGTTCTCAGCCTGAGGGGAGCAGGAAGACTGGAAGGTTTTCCTCCCAGGGTTGCTTGGCTCTTTGTACCTTTGGGAAGATCCTGAAGGACTGAAAGCATCACAGAGGACACAGGAGGCTATTGAGGAGACCTATGCCACATCCCACAAGGAGGCAGAAGCTGGATGGGATGGAGCCAAGGAATGGACACAGGGAAAGGGGACCCAGACTTAGCCCTGCAGGGCTGGACTGGACGGTGGGGCAGAGACGATCTATAATCAGGTCCCCCTCCCACTATATAGCTGTCCATCCACCTAAGACCCCCCAGAACCAAGCCTCAGGTTAGGAATGAATTCCCCCTGGGTCCAAGGGCTCTGTCTGCCTAAAGGGCTGCCCACACATGATGTATTCCAGCCCCAGGCAGCCCAGAGCCCACAGGCAGCCATTGCCAGGAGCATGGATGAGCCATGGAAGGAGGACAGGCTCCCCACCCTTGGGGGCATGGGGTGGGGGTCTGAGGGACGTCAGAGTCTGTGCAGTGCTGAAAATGAATGAGGCTCGGGATGATGGGGGGACTGGTGCATGGTCCTGCCCCTTCTGCCAGTCTCCTACAGGAGCTAAGACCAACAACCTAGGATCCTCTTCCCTCTTTCTGTGTCTGTCTATCTCTTTTTCTGTCTCTCTGTCTTTCCATCTGTTTCTTTCTATGAAAGATAAAGACATCTCTCTGGATCACTTCATCTCCCTCTCTCTCTCTCTGGCTACCTGGCACGCTCTCCTCCTCTGAGAGTCTGGCACTATATCTCTCTGTCTCTGTCTCTGACTCATTCTCTCTCCTCTCTCCCCACCACTCTCATTCTCCTGCACCACCACCACCTCCCCAGAGGTAAAAACCATTCATCCTGGGGCTGTCAGGATGGGGGGGCCCACTTGCTCATGGCCCAGCAGGTGCCACCCAGGACTGGCAGGACTGGTGGGCAGCTCCAGGGCCTCTGCTCTGAGAGGGCTCCTCTGGTCTGCCCTTCCCTCCTGCCAGATCCATCCAAACGCCAGGGCTCACAGCTGCCACTTCAGATGCATCCAGCTGGGAGTGAGCTTTACCTCTCGGGGCTGGGAGACTAACAGTTTCCCACGCAGAAGGTCTTAGGCCATGTTCCTAGGCTGTGGTCACCAACCATTTCTCTCATCAGCCTGGAATTTCCACTACCAACGATTTAGGGTTTAAATGGCAGGAAGCCCTGTTAACTCCCCCTCCTCCCAACATTAAACATTAAACACATCAGTCATTCACATTCTAATAGGAATGAGCCAACAGCTCTTCCCTCTCCCCGCTAGTTGGGTGAATGCTGCATGTGGAGATATTGTTCATCCACTTTTGCAAAAGGAGATGAAAGAGAAGCAGAGGAAGGGACCTGAGAGAAGGCGAGGACAGAGGTGAGGGGGCAGAAAGGGGAGGATTTAGGAGAAATTGCCAGAGGAGGGACGGGGGAAGAAACATTGCCAAGGAGAAGGCTCTCATTTGTCCATCTGTTCACAGTCAACAAAGCAGTCGCAAGAAAGCCTCCAAGTCCTCACATCACTCCATTTTCCAGATGGAGAAACTAAGGCCCCAATAGAAGGGACTCTAGATCACACAGAACATCCAGGTCTCTAAACTTCAACAACGGGCACCCCGTCCTGCCACGCTTGCTGTGTCTGGCCCTGTCATTCTGTTGTCCTCCCCCTGTACCCCGTCAAAAGATGCAAGACGGGAGATTCCAGAGGAGGACAGGAAGGCCCTCCCGAGCCCTCATTCATGACTTTGTGACAGCTTCCTTCCTCCCACCCCTCCCTTCTAGCCCTAGGCCCAGCACTCTGGGGAAAGAATGAGCTGGGTGAATAAAAAGGGAGCATAAATAACTCGGCCAGGCAGCTGCAGGCTGTCCAGCTCTCCCAGCACCCGACTCTGGCCCTGCAGGTTCCCCCCAACGTCTGAGAGCCAGGGACAGGAGGGCCAAGCTCCCTGATCAAAAGTGCAGAAGCTCACTGGGAAGGCCAAGCCCTTAGGCCCTGTCCTTTATCTGGTTAGCAGCTTCGAAGGCTGTGGCCTTACACGGTCCCTTCCCTTTCATGGCATCCAGGCACTGCCCTGGCCATCAGTCCTGGGCTGCTGGGGGCTGCGGCCATGGACTCTGGGTGTCCCTCGGGCTGCTTCCTCACCATGGAACAGGCACGATATGGGAAGAGTGCCTGGGCTCCTATGAGCTAGTGTGCACAGGGCTGATATGATGGGGCCCACCCAAACTGGAGAGACAGTCCTGTGGGACACAGCGGGAGGAGAGTCCCTTAGCTCCGGCCCTGAGGGACTTCACAGGGGAAGGAGGCTGCAGCCTAGGTTGTTTGTTAAGAGGATAAAACATTTCCTGTTTGGACTAGGCCTAGATGGATGTGTCAGTGAATCCCCCCCAGACAGGCTGTTTCCCGGATCCCATGCCCTGCTCCGGCAGGGTGTCTGTGTGTCCCCGTGGTCCACACGGGCATGGGTCCAGGTCTGGGTATGTGTCCATGTGTTCTCTCTGGCCTCATCAGCTCCAAGATGGGACCCCAAATCTAAGCCAAGTTATCTCTTACCCCAAAGAAGCCCCCTTCAGGGCTCGTTGGGGGGTGGGGGGTGGTAGTGGCAGTGTGGTCTGGTGGGTAAGCTCATAGGCAGGTGTCCATCACTCACTAGCTGTGAGCCCCACACCTGGGGACAATAAGGCTGCCTCCCAAGTGGTGGAGAGGATCGAAGCAGACAGTACCAGCAAAATGCTTAGCACAGCGCTTGGCGCACAGTCAGCGCTCGGGAACGGAAGCTGCTGTCGTTACTGGCGGTTGTGGTCTGGTCTTGGCAATGAAAAGGACCAGGCTCCCAGGGGGAGGCCCTGCCCAAAGGGACAGGCCCTGAGACCTCGAGCCAGCCGACCCCTCTCCTCTCAGTTTCAGCAAACACTGAAACCTCAAATGACCAAAACCCCAGCCCCCCCCCATAGCATTTCCTGCCTTTCCACTCAACTAGGAAAGAGGACCAGAAAGCAGGCTGTCATCCACCAGGAAAGTGAGCCCTTAAACGGAGCTTCAGCTGTCCCCAGGGCCACCAAAGGGAGACCTGAAGCTTTCACACTTTCCCAGACGCTCAGACTCTTGAGCCGAGGGACCTTAAAAAGGTCCTATGTGAGATGGTCGCTTGAGGCCAGAAGTTCGAGACCAGCCTGAGCAATAGAGCAAGACCCTGCATCTACAAAAAATATATAAAAAAGGCCGGGTGCAGTGGCTCACACCTGTAATCCCAGCACTTTGGGAGACTGAGGTGGGCGGATGACCTGAGGTCAGAAGTTTGAGACCAGCCTGGCCAACATGGTGAAACCCTGTCTCTACTGAAAATACAAAACATTAGCTGGGGGTGGTGACGTGTACCTGTAATCCCAGCCACTCGGGAGGCTGAGACAGGAGAATCACTGGAACCCCGGAGGCAGAGGCTGCAGTGAGCCAAGATCACTGGAATACACCACTGTATTCCAGCCTAGGCAGCAGTGCAAGCCTTCATCTCAAAAAATAAAAATAAAAATGAGCCAGATGTTCTGTCACACACCTGTAGTCCTAGCTAATTAGGAGGCTGAGGCAGGAGAATCCCTTGACCCCAGGAGGTTGAGGCTGCTGTGAGCCAAGATCGCACCACTGCACTCCAGCCTGGGTGACAGTGTGAAACCCTGTCTAAAACTAACAAAATGCAAAGGCCCCTTGTCTTGTTTTTTAAGGCAAAGAAATGAGGTTCAGAGAGGGGAAGTGACTTGTCTCAGGTCACACAGCTCCCAGAGGTTGTTCTGGACTTGACATGCAGGCCTTCGGGTCACGGAGCTTGTGGGGTGGTAACCGTCATGTCACATAGCCGCAGGGTCTGTCTATAGTGATAAATAAATACCCTGGACCCAGGAATCCCAGCCTCAGCAAGCATAGGCCCCTCTCTGATGTGAAAATGTTAATAACAGCTTTTACCAGGAGAGGAAATTCTGCAGTGGCCTGAGTCTGCCACAAGTTTGGTGGCATTGGTTAAGAAATGTGGACGCCATTAATCATAGGAGCATCTTGGACATGTTGCAAACAGACCTAGCAGTGCCTCCTCATCCTGTGGCACTCGCCAGGCATCCCAGATGCCTCTCAGTCCCTCCAAGGCACTATCTGGTGCTTCTCCTTCCTAAACAGCTGCGTGTTAAAAGCTCATAGCACCCCGTGGGGTGATCGGTTTTGATCTGGGCTCCTTTACTGGGGCTTCAGACAGGACTGGCATCCTCTTGGTGGGCATGGCCCCTCAGCAGTGATGAATTATCAGGGTGTTAAGTCATTGATCTAGCTGTGTCAAAAACAAGGGCTAACCACAGAGGTACAAAGCTGCATTTCTTGGGGGTCGGAGAGATGGCACAGGAGATGCCCTAAAATTTCACGTGAAAAGGAGGGCAACAGCTCCCCAAGGGGGAAACATTGGCACCGTGGTGATGTCATTGCAGGGAGTGGGAACCCTTGGGGGACCATGTGAAATGGGAGAATGGGTGACAGGGCATTACCATGATATCTGTCTGCCCCACATTCCTGTAAGGAACATAAAACTGTCCTCCTTGCAAAAGAAAAACTGAAGCTCAGAGAGGGGCACGACTTGCCTGAGCTAATGGAGCAGAAGTGGCAGAGGCAGGATTTGAACCCAGCTCTCACTACCTGTCCCTTGGGACAGGGCATCTGCTTCCTCTGTGTGGACACATTGGTGATGGATCCCCCGTCCAGCCTGCCTGCCTGCCTACCTACCTATGGTGGCCTATGCTGCCTGCCCCTGGTCAGTCCAGGAGGGGCAATGCAGTGACTGGCAGATCCTTTCCGGGGAGTGTTTCTAGCAAGGACCGTGGGTCTGGACAAGCCATAGCAGGAAGGAGCCAAGCTGGGCAACGGCTTCCCCAGCCCAGGCCTATCTGCTGCTCATCCATCCAGGCAGAAGACTGTCCTGGGAGGTTGGGGGTCTGGGTCCTCTCTGATGAGAGCTCTGTTTGCTCCCCATAAACACACACTCCTGTCACAGACATACACATAACACACATGCACACAAATCCACATCATGCATGCACACACATCCATCATACATACCACACATGCATGCATCCCCCCCTCCCCCATGCATACACACACTACACTTACATATACGTTTGTGGGATACAGAGCCCTTCCCCCAGAAGCCCATTCATGAAGAAACCACTCAACACCAATTCTTACTTTGTTACATATGGTGAAATCAGTGCTGATACTCTCCGAAGTCAGGAGATCTAGGTTCAAATTCTGGCTCTGCCAACACCCTGCCAGGGTGCTTTAGGTAAATGACAGCTCCTCTTTGTGCCTTGGTTTCAACACCTGTAAAATGAGAATAAGAACGGACCCTGCACTTACGGGGTCAGCCCAGATCTCCTCCTAGGGAGACTGTGAGTGCCTGGGCCTCAGTTTTCTCTTCTGTAAAATGGGGGTATTGTGCCCAACTCGACGAGCAGAGTGGCTTGAAGATTCACCTGAGACAGGATGTGAAGTGGCCTCGGTGAGGTGCCCAGTACGCATGGTGCGCACTGCTCAGGAAGCTTTACCTGGAGGGCTGGATCCCGCAAAGGTGTTGAAAAAGGATGAGTCCCCGGTATCATTAGCTCAGGTGAGGCGGGTTCAGGTCCCGGCTGCGTCTAGGACCGTGACCCGGGCCTCGGTTTCCCAGTCTATATCCTGCGGGAGGACACCTCGGAGCTGGCACTCCGCCTCCCAAAGAGCCACGCGGGGCAAGGCGCAGGGCGTGGAGCTCAGGTGGACACCTGGCGGGCCTCCTGACGGGGGCGCCCGGGCCCCTCGGGGCTCCTTCCGGGTTGGCAGCGGCGGCGCAGGGGGCGGGGGCCGCGCCGAGGGGCCGGGCGAGGCAGGGTGAGCGCGCCCCCGCCCCCGCCCGCCTCCAGCCCGCCCTCCGGCCGCAGCGCTGGGAACCGGGCTCCGCGCGTCCGGGGCGTCTCGCAGCGCTGGCAGGCGGACGGGTCGGCAGGCTGGGGACGGCGACAGCGAAGGGCCGCGCGCGGAGGGCGCCGGGCGCAGCATGGGCGGCCCGCGGGCTTGGGCGCTGCTCTGCCTCGGGCTCCTGCTCCCGGGAGGCGGCGCTGCTTGGAGCCTCGGGGCAGCCCAGTTACCCGGACGCAGGTAAGGGCTCTCCGCGCCTCTGCGCCCAGCTGGCCAGGGGTCCTGGAGCTCACACGCCCCCGCCTCCGGGCAGGGCTGGAATCGGGAGAGCCACTTAGTCCCCAGCCTCAGTGCCGGCCCGGGTGAGGGCAGGGACACCGCCATCCCGCGGTCTGGCTGAGGCTCCCTGAGTGCGGGGTCCCCCATCCCATGTGTTGGAGCTGGCCGCCTCCCTCACTCCCTCCCTTTAAACCCTGGGGCCCGAGAGGAGGGGAAAGGGGCGAAACGAGGGTGAAGCCTTGGCCCTTCCGTCGCCTTGTCCCTAGGGCCCCTCCCCCTGCACTTGGGAAAGGTCCATGACACCCCCTTCGAGGACCTCTCTCCCGTTTTCCCTGTTCCTGGGACCCCCTCTCCCCTTTTCCGTGGTCCTGTTTTTTTTTAAAGTACCCAGGCTATTTCTCTTCTTCCGAGGAGGGACTGGGGTGGAGTCTCACAGCCCAGTGGGTCAATGTCAGAGGCTCCCCTGGGACCTGGCATTTTGGACTGAGACAAGAGGGAGCACAATCTTCCTGCTGGTCTCCTACCAGCAGGGACCCTCCTCCCTCCTACTCCTTATGGAGGAGCTCTCAGAACCTGAGGCGGTGGGGCCCATTACTGCATATAGTGCTCTCATTAATCCTTCAAGGACCGAACGAGGTAGGGAAAACTGTCCCCATTCAACGTGTAACAGACTGAGGTCCCAGGGAATTGGCATCATGTTTTAGACTCATGGGCTAGTCACTGAAGAGCTGGGTTGCATATCTGCGTTCTGTCCTTGATGACAGTGTTTGAACCTGCCCTGGCCCCTGTTCTGGCTGCAGCCCCGGCCAGGGTCCCCTCTTAAAAGCCAGCCATCATCCAAGGCAGACAATGTGGACTAGCCAGGCCTCTCCAGCCCTTTTCATCCCATTCAAAGGCCTGTGCAGCCCCCACCCCCTACGGCCTCAATTCTTTAATTCTTTTCAGAAATTCTCCTTTCCCAGTGGTCAGGGGCCAGCATGCCCCTGCTGGGCTAGCAAGAGTGGCTGACATGGGCAGGGCTGGAGGACAGAGGTGGCTGAGGCATCAGAGGCCAGAAGAGCAGTTGTCTGAGCCAGGGATGGAGGTGTGGCAGATGTCACAGCCACACCTATTGTGTGCAGACCACAGCTAGCCTGGATCTGCCCCTTTACCTGCATTATCAGCTCCAGAATCTTCCCAGCTGCTTAGAGGCATGCTTTTTATGATGCTGTTTAATGGAGGAGGAAGGTGAGGCTCAGAGAGGGAACATGACCTGCCCAGAGCACAGATGTGAGCCTCCGAGGATCCCAGATGCTAAGAGGATAGAGTATGAACTCAGAAATCCACTGTCATGCTCTGGATGATGGAGGCGACAGCTTAAGGCCCAGACTACCCTGTGGCCAGTCCAAGGCAGGGCTTCTGGGCCTGGGCTCCTCACCACCCAGGGTCTCCTGGGTGGGAGCAGGTGTCCAGTGGTCACTGAGGACTGTCGCCCCATGTGTTCACAGAAGTCTGTTACAGTAGCTGGAGCATCACAAAAGCCCTGTGGGCAATGCTATTGCACCCACTGTACAGACAAGGAGATTAAGGCCTAGAGAAGAAAAGTGGCACCTCAATCCAGGCCAGTCAATTTCCAAATTCAGTGGCTTTTTCTCCCTAGCAGCCCTCTTGGAGGAGGGAAAGAGGTTGTTGGCTTGGGGGCACCAGGAAAGGTTTGTAGTAGTGATTAGGAGTTAGGGGCTCTGGCCTCGGACAGAATGGGGACAGAATTCCTTACTCTGTTATGGACCTGATGTGTGACCTCAAATGGGTCACTTCCTGGCCATGGGTCTCAGTTTTGCTCTCCGTTTCCTTCTTTCCTTGTGGGAAGGACCAGTACTGTGCCTCACCTGCAGTGGTTCTATCAACTGTGTCACATGGGGGTAGGGACATGGAGCTTGAGAAGTCTGTGGGCTACCAGGACCTCCACTTGTGGCCCCATCCCCGCGTTACTGGAGACGGAATGGGGATGTCGTGCCCCATCAGCCTTCCTGCCACCCACAGCCCAGCACCCCAGGCACCCCTTGGCAGCCAAAGGACCAGAGGCAGAAAAGAGACATTGTCCTGGGGAAGGGGTGGCCTGGGAAGGCATCCAGAGGGCCGCCCCCAGCCCCAGGAATGTGGTGACAGTTGGAGACCCCCAGAACCAGGGTGCCCAAGGGCTCTGCAGAGCTGCCTTGGCTTGCCCCTGCCAGCCCCCATTCCCTGCTAGAGCTGCTTCTTGCCCGCTGAGGTCCTTCCAAGCCTGGAGCCTGCTTCCTTTAACTGCTCATCTCAGTGCTTCAGCTGAGGGTTCAAGCCATCACCAGCCCAGACCTCTTGCCCCTGCAGCACTGGTTTCCTTTGGGCAAATCCTAGGATCAGGGAGAATGGAGGGCTCTAAAACAGAGGGGATCTGCCCAGCCTTTCTCTAGAGGGCTCCAATCCCAGCTGATACCCACGGGGTGACCTGGGTAGGTGCTTTCTCTTGGAGCCTCAGTTTCTTCTTCTATCAAATGCAGAATCTGATAATCCCTATTCCAAGGGGAAGAGCTTCTGAAGAAGTTCCCCTTGTGAAGGGGACACTATGCTGGTGTCCCCAAGCCCCAGGCAAGCTCTAGGACCACAGCTGCGGAGTGTGGGGCCCATGTCTGGGCCTTAGCCCCACAGTCCAGGAACAGGAATGAACAATAGCTATTAGTGCTGTGCTAAGGGCTTTGAGTGAAGCCTCCCCTGCTGGAGGAGATTCTGCTGTCCCCATTTGCAGATGGACAAAATGAGGTCCAGAGAGGGTCAGGGCCTTGCCCAAGGTCACCGATTTAGGAAGCAGCAGAGCTAGGACTGGAACTTGGCCCCTACTGCGGGGCTCTGGCTCTCATCACACCACCCCGCCCGCCAGGCTCCTTTCTTTCCTCTCCTTTTCATCACGGCCCTTGGCCCCCGGCCTGCTTGGCTGCCTCCTTCAATTAGCCCCTATCACTGTTCCGGATCGCAGCCCTGGGACCTACAGAGACAAAGTCCCCTGGGCCCCTCGTGGCAGGGGGTGGAGTGTGGGTGTAGGTGGGGGGGCCCTCCTGGGGGTGGCCAGTGCCAGGCTGAGCTGGTCTGGCCTGTTTCTCCCCTCCTGAGGGCCTCTGGGGGTCTAGAGGTGCTGAGTGGGCAGAAGTGGAGGGCCCAGGAGGGAAGTGCCACTTCTTCCCAGCCCCTGCCCTCACCCACCCCACTGTGCAGCCTCTTCCAGCTCTCAGGCAGCTTATCAATGACCACATCCCACGGTAGGAAGACCCCAGGGGCTGCAGGAATGGAGCACATGGGGATGGGTCTCTTCATCTGTGGAAACCTAGAGTCCTGGCTCTTCTGTCCAGAGCTGCTGCCTGTTCTCCATCATTCATTCATTCAACAAACATCACTGAGTGTCCTCAGGCTGAGCCCTATACAAACTTAGTCCTAGCTCATACCCTCCCCCAGCACCTGCATGAGTGAGTGAAGACCACGGCTATTGTGAGTGGCTGGCTAATGGATGCCCTGGGAGATGCCCAACCCCTGTCTGGGCCTTAGGGCTGAGACCCAAAGGATGAATAAAAGTGTGCCAGAGCAAGAGCGAGGGGCTTTCCAGGCAGAGGGATCCTCATATGCTAAGATCAGAGGTGGGAGAAGGGGCTGCATAAATATGCAGGAGAGGCCAGCAGCATAAAAAGTGAAGGACAGGGCTTGCGGGGCCGAGGTGTGCTGTGGACTCTCACAGTGGGTGGTGGCAGCATTAGGTCTGTGCTTTAGAAAGAGCCTCTTGCTACCCCTGGAAGGTGGATAGAGGAGCAGGAGGGTGGCAGGGCCAGGCTGGGTCCCTGTGGAGGAGCTCAGGCTGATGCTAGGTGTCCTGAGACTGGGGTCTTCAAGTGGGGGATGGGGTGGTTATTGGTGATCCCCACGTGGTGGGGGGACAAGGGACTGAACTTGAACTCCAGCTGGCATGAATGTCCTCTACTGTCCAATAGGTCTGACTAGCTGGCCACCAGCTCCATGTCTCCTAAGGACAGGATTCAAGCACTGTCCAGATTGTGGCAATGGGCAGGGACCCACATGGGGAAGATTTTTTTTTTTTTTTTTGAGAGAAAAGGTGTCACTCTGTTGCTCAGGCTGTAGTGCAGTGGCATGATTATAGCTCACTGTAGCCTCAAACTCCTAAGCTGAAGCAATTCTCCCACTTCAGCCTCCCAAGTAGCTGGGACTACAGGCACGCACCAATGGTGGAGATTTTAATTAAGGAAGAAAAAGGAAAAAAAAAATTGTTTTTTTCTCTAGTTCCTCTGTGGTAAAAAGGACAGCTCTGGCCATTGTGGACCGTCACAGGCCACCTCTCCCGGACTAGTCCAGGGGCTGGGCATTTGGGGGTGGTGTCCACGTGCGTGCCTGTATAGATATATGTGAGAAGAAGTGCCCTGCTGGGCCTGCCTTCACTTGTTTGTGTGCATGTGAGAATGTGTGTGTGTGTACACGTGTGCACGTGTATGCATGGGTGTACATGAATGAGAGCACTGTGGGTCCCTGTGTGGACATGTGCAGAGTTCATAATTTCAGCCTATCTGTGTCCAGGTGAGGGGGCGTGCGTGTGTGTGTGCGCGCGTGTGTGCATGTGCAGGTGTGTCAGTGTGTGTGCAACTGTGAACACATTTGCAAGGAGGAGGTTTGACTGTGACTGTGTGCCCCTCTGAGCCTGCTTTGGTCTGTCTATGTCCATGTGACAGAGCCAATGAGTGTGTGTGAATGTGTGAGGGCACACAGCCCTGTATCT